CAGTGTTTCTGGAAAGAATGGTCAATCCCCTGTAACACTCCAGTGTCTTCTAGTAATCAAATTGGGCAGCTCATTAAAATGATGTGTGAACAGATAGGTACCCTGGCAAAAAGGCAAGGGAGTCAAGAAATAGCTAGAGCAATAGAAGTACTATTTCTATCATCAGGAGAAAACAAAAATCAGGACTAGGAGGTATTCGAGGAGGTGTACCTAAAACATGCCCAAGGGAAGACAGGGAGTGGCTCCTAGGGACGTAACTGGAGCCCTAAAACCAGCCACGGGAGGGATGAGTCATGCCAAAGAAGAGGACTATTTAAAATTGGATATGTCTGTATAAAATAACTCAGCTAACAGTGGCGGAATTTAAAGAAGCTATCTGAAGAGCAGTTTGAGGAAACGGGAGGATGAGATTTTAGTTGCTGTCTGTGTATGGGCGGGCTAAATATAGCATTGTCACATACATCTCCACGAGGGAGCTGCTTGGCATCTGGCAGAGGCCTCCAGTGTTTTCCTAAAGGAAAGTGTTAAGGTGGGCTCAAATGATGTCCAACGGGACGGTTAGTTCTCTGGGCTACAACGCGGGGAAGGGAATTCACACATGTGTCAGGCCTATTTGGTGCTCAGTCCTAACATATATGAGCTCATTTGTTTCTCACAACAAACCTGTCACAGGGAAGTCATTTTCACAACTTCGAGCTGAGGGAAACTGAGCTCACACGGCTCTTAAATCATGAAGCAGGAATTAAACCGGAGTTTGGGCAGCAGCAAACCCACTGCCACCAAGCTGCCTCTTGCATTAAAGGAAGTTGATAATGCAGTATCAAACGACTCCAGAGAAAATGTAACTTAAGGAACCAGGTATTGTGCTAAATATCTGATTCGGATGGCGACCTTTGCTGATTTGACTGACCTTCCTTGGGCGTCAGTCTTGCTGAAGTTTGTTATTTTATGAGACCAACACCTACCCATATATAATAACAAAATAATCTTATTTAATAAATGGGGCCCACACCTTTAAAAAAAAAAAAAATCCTTACAGTGTTTTACTAGGCATGACAGAATTCCACAAATTTCCCTGTGAGGGCTGGGCTGAGAATGGGGGCGATTTAGTCATTTATCCAACTCTTTATTAACAGCCACGTATTGAGAGCTTAATATGAACCAGGCACTTTGGTGGGCTCTTAGAATAAGCAAAATGGTCACACTTCCTGTCTCCGTGGAGCGTATAACCTAGTGAGTGATGCAAACCAGTAAAGGGATTTTACTGTTTTACTGAGCACGGGAGAGTGGGGTAGACATTGTTAGGGGAAAACCAGGGTTTTTATCCAACATTGGAGCAAAACCTAACTCTGATGTAGAAATTTAGGGGAAGCTTCATCAGGGAAGGAGGAAATGCAGCTGTTAACTTTCTGGGCCGAAAGAAGAGCTCATCTCCAAGTGGGGAAACACGAATGACCCACAGTCCTCAGGCACTGACCACACAGCAGGGCAGGGAGACGGTGAAGCTTGTTTTTCACGGGTCCCAATGCCAAAGACTCGACCATGCCGTGCCTAGGAGTGCCCTTGATCGACAGAGGCCTCAAGCCGCCCCCGCCCATCTGGAGCCCATCGCTGCTCTCTTTTCTGTGTGTTCTCCGACATCCTCAGGACCATTTCAGTGAAGTTGAAGTTTATGTGTAAAGTCAGACTGCAAAGAGAAAATCGCCTGCTGTCAGAATGACTCTAGGAAACCACTTAGGAGGTCTCTATTTTAAAGATCTCAAAGTCTAATACAGTCAATTTTTCCACCCGGAGTGGGAAACAGAAGTGTTTCTATACAAGCCAGAGAGTTGGCTTCTGAGACTGGGGCCATATTGTGTCGTGAACAGATCCTGTGCCTTTAAATACATTACTTTCTGAGAATTGTCTACACCAAGTGCGGCATCTATATCATAAAAGGCTGAAGGAATGGCAGATCCAAGTTCTCCTAAGGCATAATCACACTTTATTGTTGTTAAGTTTTTGGCTGAAGGGTTAATGCATGGCTCCTGTCTGATGAAGGCGGCAACCAGAACGTTCTCTTGCCTACCTGGGTGCCCAGGCATTATGAAATTATGGACATAAAATCACCCCAGCCTGCACATGTCACTAATGTACAAGTCAGTTTACCCTGCCTCCCCAACAGAGTCAGAACGTGTTCAGCCTCGCATGTGACTTTACTCCAGCACCATGATTATAAGGAGTATCTGATGGCAGACTTTCAGGCATTTAGAAAATACTGTGTGCTTATAATGGCCTGTTTGGGGAATGGGGATAAAATATTAATGAAATATATTTCCTTCTCCTCCAGTTTAGGGGAAAAGCAAAAACTAAACAGGAAATTAGAATACGGTCAATGTGAGCATGGATGCTATAGGAGCACAGGGGGTGGCTCTTCCCTGGAGGAGTTGGCCAGGCCCAGAAGAGGGGGGCAGTGTTTCCCAAATGCGAGGAGCAGCATGTGTGGGCAGCATGTGAAGCAAAAGCTTCTCTTTGACAAGCATGTTGACAATGAAGTAAATAGAGGCTGCCCTATGTGCCTTGCACATCAACTACATTTCCAGGAAACATAAAATGGAGGTATGAGCCACAAAGAAGAATCTGCACCTTTGATGAGAATTTGCAGAACAGGTTGAGAGCTAAAAGACACAAAATTGACAAACTCCAGTGGAATAGTCCCTTGCCAAAGTGATGTCATCGATGACACTTGTGTGAAATATCAAATACTTGGAAAGCCTTACCGAAGCCAGTAAGCTAAAGGCATCTGCAGATCACTGACAACGTGCTGAGCATGCATTTGCGTGGATCACTTAAACAAGATCTTCCGAACACTCATGAACACAGTTGGGTACCTCCAATGCCACATCGGCAAAAGGCCTAGCGGTGCTCACTGCTCAGCCAGGTAACTAGTTATTGATCAGTAATTCTGTCACTGAGGCACACGTTTTCGAGGAAGAAGACAAAACCAAACAAACAAAAAACAAAACAAAACAAAAAACGCAGCACTGGAATTACTGGTAACTTTAGACAGCCAAAAACATTTTACAAAATAGCATCTTTTTCAGAACACACACACACAAAACCATCTCTTGACCACCAAAGCGGACAAATAGGGTCTGCTACGTCAGAGAAGAGCGCTGAGAATACAGATTTTCCACGGTCCCCTTTCTTGATTGCATTTCAGTTGTGTTTGCAGTTCTGTGTATCACTGTTCAGAGGTACTGTTAGTTGCATTAGCATTTTCACTACCATATTGTTGTCACCAGGAAGGCAAATGTATGCGAGGCTTCCTAACAAACACCAACTTTTTTCTGTCCCCAACATTAGACACAGAAAAGGAAGAAAGAGGTAATACAAAGAGAGGGACTCAAATGGTAGTAATTTCATTTTCTATCTTTCAGGTTATTGAATCATTTCAGAAGATGTGCCTCCATAAAAACCTTATCAAAATCACATGCTTGCCTGTGGCACATATACCAATCCATATTTGAACTTCCCATAGTCACATACTTCTTGAAAAATAAGGAATGTGCAATTGTCCTCATCATTTCACCAAGTCCTTTAATGACAAAACAACTGTCAGGTGCCCCAGATGGGTTTTTTTTTTTTTTTACACACCCACAAGCAGTGTTTGTTAATATATTCTTGGCCATATACATTTCTAAATGTTCACTTCAAAATAGTAGAGGAAAATAAGTACTCCCATTTTGTTCAATAGGAAGTTTTATTCAATAGGAACCCATAAACTATCATAAAACAAAGCATCTGTGACCTATGACAAAGGCCTGCCTTTGAATCTTGGCTCTTTTACTAGTTGTCTGACGTTGGGAAAATTACTTAGCACCTCTGAACCTCAGCTCGCCCAGCTTTTAAGCAGAGAATAGTAGGTACCTAATCGGGTAGTTGTATTAATAAAGACATTATGTGTAGAACATATCAATTAGCTGCTCTCATGATTACTTGTTATTAATACTAAAAGAGCAATTTTGTCAACTTCTGATTTCATGGTTAGTGCTTTTTTGGAACGTGTAATTCAGGGGACAAAGCGTAGGCCGGGACCAGTAAAACCTATATTTGAATGCTGAGGGTCCTGTGAGGTACAAAAAAACCCACTTAACCTCTCTGAACCAAGCTGTTTTCAATGGAAAATTTGAATATCAAGGTCTCCCTTCCCAGACTGTTACAAAGATTGAATGAGGTCGTTCTTCTCAGCACATGGTAAACATTCATTGAATAGTAACTTCTAGTATTAATATGACTGCAACTAAGAAACAAGGAATTACCTTGACATCCTCCTTGGAGGAAAATAACATCATCTTGCACAGGGAGGGAAAACAGTGCTGTCCTTAGTTGCCAACTGTGCTGGTTGGTGATGGCCTGGCGTCCTACGAAAAGGACTCCAGCATTTACTAAGCCTCTGCATGCATGCAGTGTTGACAAATACAAGACCTGGAAACCAGCAGTCGTTATCATTAAGGATATTTAAATATCCCCCGATATACGCACAAAGCCACTGAAGAAAACACAAAATATTCTGCAGATATGACATATTTTTAAGAACCGGAAATATAAAGCAAGTGCCTTTTATCAGAAGGGTAGTGAGGAGTTCCGGGAAAGCAATCACAACAATAAAAAGAAGGACCAAGCCTCTCACCCTCCTTCTCTGAATCTGTTGTTTGGTACAGCATGTAGAGCATTAGAAACTCCGTTATTGTCCCAGGGTTTGACACCATTCAAACATTTCACGTTGACTTCTTCCTATTGGTTCCAAACAGTGTGTGGGGTGGGGGGGGGGGGGGGGGATTCCTACAGGTGGCGTGAAGGGTAGAGACCTTGAGATTAGGGAAGTTTATCAAGGAGGGGGATTCTAAAGTATCCCTGTACCTTACAAGCAATCGCTTCTAACGCGGGATGTACAGAGAACAGGAGGAGCATTCACGTAAAGGGCCAATTCTTTAGAAACCAAAGGAACAGACCTGAGATTTGTTTAAAGCAATCAACAGGTTTTATTTCCTGGAACCGAAATAGTTCAGCTCTCAACTTCCAAAGCTACAGTCAACAATTTTTCATCAGAGCCCAAGGGAGAAGGGCAGGGGTGAAGGAGACAACAGAAGAAGAAGGGCACATCTGAGAGGCTCAGGAAGCGGCTGGGAGGGGGCACTCACTTCCCTCTCTCCTCTCAGGCAGTTACATTTCAGGTCTGGTGACAATGCTGAGGGGGCCAGGGGGAGGGACGTCACGGATGGGAAATGGCACAGCCAAGGAACCCCAAAGCCTTAACTACAAGAAGGAAGTCAGCAAACCCCGAACAGAAAGGGAACCCCCCAGTCCATCTCTGTAATGGGGTTAGCAACGGCAGAGCTGCCCGCTGACTGAAGGCATAGCCAGGGTAGTGCTTAATGGCGGGGGCGGGGTGGGGGGCATCTTTTCATTAAAAAGATTTCCCAAGCTACGTGCCTTTTCTTTTATGCCTGAGTGACATATATGACTGTAGGGCAGCCTGGAGGCTGTGGGGAGAGGGAAAGGGGCGGCCAGGAGTCTCCACAGAACATCCCACGTAAGCCCAGAGATAGAAATGGGGACAGACGTTGCTCACCACTGCCAACCAAAGAGCTGGGCAAAGCGAACCCTTCCCATCTCATGCACAACTGGGAAGCTCCCAAATTATTTGATGAAAAACGACACATCCCAGAACTCCCACAAGGGACTCAGAAAGGAGGGTGGCCCTCTCCCAGAAGCTGTCCCACTTTCGGTGAATCTGAGCAGCCGGGGTAACAGGCACCGGCGGGGCGGAGGGGACTGCCCCCCCCACCACCACCACCACGGTTTGAGGATGGCCCCTTCCGGGCCCCTGGAAGCCCCCTCCCACCCCCACCTGGTCGGTATCCTCCCCCTCCTCCCCGCCAACCCTGATTCCAACGCAGAGGTCCAGAATGCCCGGGGGAGGGAGAGAGGGGTATCTGGAGGGGGGAACGGCCAGTCCAGGCCCCAACTGAAGCCTTGGGAAACAGTTCCAGGCAGGGAGGGACGCGGCGGGCTCAGCTCGTCCCGGGGCGGAGAAGCCCTGACTCAGATCTCAGGGGGTGTGGGGGTACAGAGCCGGGGGCCGGGTGGCCTGCCCCTCCAGGTCAACCCCCAGGGCCGGACGGGCGTGGAGAGGGGGGTGGATGGAGGAGGAGAGCGGGTGGGGGTGGGGGGTGGCGTCCCAGTTTGCAGGCCATGACCAGGTTCCCCAGTAACAGCCAGGCCGCAGCAGGAAAGGGGTGGGGGGCTCTTCTTGAAACTGGTGACTACAGGCTCTCGCGCTCTCCGCCGCCCGGGGCCTGCGCCTCCGCGGCCGCGGCCTCTCCCCGCCACTCGGGGGCCTCCGGGGGTGGCTGGGCCGCGGCGCCGCGGGTTTCCAGCTCCACGACGGGCGGCGCGGCCCCTTCGCCGGCGTCCTCCTGCTCCTCCTCCTGCGGCAGCTGCTGCTCCCCTTCGGGCTCGGCCTCCCTGGGACGTTTGGGGGAGCCCTCCGGCAGCTCGCCCGCGCTCCGCTTGGGCGGCGCCGGCTCCGCCTGCTGCTCGGCCGGCACGTCGCCGCCCAGCTTCCCCGGCTGCTCACCGCGGCCCGCCTTGTCGCCGGCGCTGGCCTCCGGCTGCGGCCCGGCCTCGTCTGCGCCGCTCTTCTCCCCGGCCAGCTGGTAGTCGGCAGCCTGGACGGTGGGGTTGTTCTCGATCTCCCACAGCCCCTCGCTGAAGCCCCTCCTCTTGCTGGGCTTGCCGAACTTCTCCTTGGACTCCTCGTACGGGAACAGGTGCTTGGGGCCCAGGAAGGCCGTCTCGTGGGTCCCGAAGAAGAACACCTGGTAGCGGTTAGGCTCGGCCATGTGCTCGATCCTGGCCGGCCAGTGGGCGTAGCCCTTCAGCTTGGCAAACACCAGGTCGCCGCTCTTGTACTTGCGTCGGCAGTTACGCGACATGGCGGGGCTGCGGACCCGGCCTCGGCGGGGGCCCTGGCGACGCCCGGAACGCGGGCGGGTGGCGGCCGCTGGGCTGGGCGCGCGCCCGCCCCCGAGGGCCCCGCGCGCCCACCGAAGGGCGCAACGCTCCGCGCCCAGAGAGGGTTCCAGCGCGGAGAGTGCATTCTCTCCGAGACCCCACTGTGGACGCCGCGGTTTCTTCTAGAACGATGGAGCCCCTAGCTCGGATATCCGGGTGGCCGCGGTGCTGAGGGTGGCCTGGTGACCCTCCATCTCCGGGCCATAAAGACCGCACGCACGGTGCACAGGGTGTCAGAGGGGCCCAGAGAGCGTGAGATAGGGGCAGCGCGCTGGGAAAACGCAGTGACATCACGAGCACAGATTTGGGTGAAACTAGGAACCGGCTAGTGCAAACTCAAGGTACCCGTGTGGGTCCTGACCTACTCAGCACAGCAAACTCCACTCTCGCCTTAGGAGCCGTTGATGGCCTGGTTGGGTCAGTGGTTTCCCTACTTTTCTGATTTCTTTGAGGGCTGACACGGAGCCTCCTCAGGGTCTCCAGCTGAGGGCAGGGCGGGTCTGGCAAAGGGACAGAGTCAGCGGTAGTGTTAGGGTGTCCTGAGTGCACGTCTTCTGGAATCCGGTCTTCTGAGCGGCTAGTATTTTGGAGAAAATGTTTATAGCAGCAGCATGACCAGGTCAAACCAGCCATATCAAAATTTCCTACTTTGCATAGGAAGGTTTGCACGCATGCTGGACACAGACTTTACCTTTCCGGGGATTCTTACCTATTGTAAACAAGACTTCGTGGTTGTAACACAAAGAGTATATCAAATGCTCTCAAAATCTTCCCCTACAATAGGGGGAAAGTGGGCTGGTTGTGATTAAGCATTAGGTAAAGGTCTGCTCATGTCAAATAGGCTGTTGGTAACGAGGACTTCCTGGGGGCTACAGACTAAAAAACAGCATTCTCTCAGCTGAGAGACTATGTCAAGAAGAGACGTTTCTCCAGATAGAAGACTATTCTAAACTGATACTTCTGGGAGTTTCCATGTAACTGCTTTTGTTATAAAGCTTTCCATATCTTTTTTGAGACCTGCTAGCTAGGGGTGAGCTTGCACTTTGAAACCTAGCCAAATTAGTACTCTTGGCTATTGCGACAAAGACCTTTCAATATCAATCATGTATTTAACTACACAGATGTTCTTTCCTAGTGTAACCAACAGTGACCAGTGGAGAATTAGAACCATTAACCCATTTCATTACAGATTTGTTTCCGGTTTGCTGGGTTGCATCAGCCATTTTGCCTCCGGATGGTGGAGACCCACTTTAGGTAAAAAAGTTACCTTCTCCCAACGGGGCAAAACAAATATGATGCGCTCTGATAATTCTAAACAAGTTCTTTCAGCTTTTCTGTCAAGCCATTTTCTCAGAACATTTTTTAGGACATTCTGCTACAAAGATGAATCTGATACATTTCCTCTTTTCAACTTCACAGGGAAAGTGCCAGAAAACTAGAAATGTTTAGTGGCTGTAGAAGATAAATAGGACGTCGTGGGCAGCTGCGGAGCCCCTGGTAGGAAGGAATGTGGAGTTTCTGCAAGCGGAGGTCTTACTACACACACTCATGGCCTTTTTTCTCAGCCCTCGCTATGCTGCACTAAAGCCCGTATCACAAAGCCAATTTGGTCACAGAAGAAAAATCTGGTTAGACAATATGTCCAGAAAGGATACTTAGTTAGGCCATCCTGTCAGTCTGCAGGCAGGACCAGACCTGAAAACCAGTAGCTCAAGGTGAGCGTGATTATGGGCAAATGGGCCATACTGGTGTAAGCCAAACATCCAAGATCATCGCCAGGTTGTTGATTCACAGCAGGTAAACAGGTAGGTCTGTGGGTATTATTGGGACTGGGTATTTGAGGGGTAGAGCAAAGAACCAAGAACCTACCAAAAACAAACAAAAAGGAAACAGAGGTAAGAAAACCTAGTAGAGAGGCATCCAGATCTGCAAAGAGTAAAAGAAATTCTATTAGGCACAGACCATCATTTTCCTGTCTTCACCTCTTGTGGGCTGCTACGCTGTGTGGTGCTATGAGGGCTTTAAAACATAATTTCAGAGATAAGTCACCAGGGACTTCATTACAGAGAAACCGGAGCTAGTCTTCAGGTGCTAAATTATGTGTTCTTTGCATAAACACAAAGGAATTCCAGGAGAACTCAGTGGGAGGGTGGTTATTAGGACCAGGAAGGGGTAGTAGGAGACACAATAGAATTCTTGCATCCCTCCCTCCTTTATCAGCCTTGTAAGGCTGGGAGTAGATAGCATGGTTCTGAGCCTCTGCTACGTGATCTTAAGGTGTTTAAAGTAATACTTTGAATTTCTCTCAGGATTTGTTAAAAATATTAATGAGATTATGGGTTTGAAAGTCCGGACAATGGGTGTGAGGGTCAGTGCTAACAAAGTGTGAAGGAGAGTTTCATTTTGGATAGGAATTAGGCTATTATTAATATCATGCTAGTATTATTATTAGACTAAAGGAGGATAAAGATCTATCGAAAGGAGTAGATTCACGAATAAGAGCACTGAAGGATGAGAGGCCCTCAGCCAGCTGAAGTCCACAGGACACATGCAACTTCATATCCAGCACAATTTCTGCATGAGACAACATAAGAGATTTTGCTATGTGGAAATACTATTTTTAAAAGCAGTATTCCTCGATGGAATTGAATCATTCACGGTGGCTTACTCCAGAAGTGGGAGAATGGGAGGAAGGCTGAAGAAAAGTGAAATGCTTTTCAAGAGTTAAATAGGGACCACTTTCACAGATACTGCATTCCTTTTATACCTGCATTCTCAGGGATGCAATTAAGAGGCTCCATCTTGGCTTCTCTTACCTTTGAGACCAACTTGTTCTTAAAAGTTACTGTCTTGGGGCGCCTGGGTGGCTCAGTTGTTAAGCGCCTGCCTTCGGCTCAGGTCATGGTCCCAGGGTCCTGGGATCGAGCCCCGCATCGGGCTCCCTGCTCAGCGGAAAGCCTGCTTCTCCCTCTCCCACTCCCCCTGCTTGTGTTCCCTCTCTCGCTGTCTCTCTCTCTCTCTCTCTCTCTCTCTCTCTCTCTGTCAAATAAATAAATAAATAAAATCTTTTAAAAAACCAAAAAATAAAATAAAAGGTACTGTCTTTCTTGCTCAAAGCGGAGAGAGTAGGGAAGTGGTGTTCATGATAACCTGCTTAGGTGTAGATTGGGCTGTTATACAAAATACTCATGAGCAACTACGATTATCAATTTTTAGGAACTAGAGCTCCAGGAGCTCAACTGTTTCTAATAGATCAAGATGTTTTAAAAATCAAATGTGCCAAGAACACCTGTTTGTCAAAAGGACCTAATTTCAGCAGAAGCATACCTCTCAAAAGCCCTTGGAGTCCAAAACATGTGTGACACTTCTCTGATTCCTTCTCTGGAAAACTCATGATAACATTTAAAAAGCTGCTTGGCAACAATTACGAAACAGAGGCGATAAAACAATATAATTACACAAGAGAGACAATAGATACCTAATTGATGTTTTCTTGTTTAATTAGTTTAAAATTCAATTAGTCTGATGTAAACTATGATATAAAATAAATGCAGTTGTTTTCTAAGTGCTTTTGTCTTCGTTAAAAATATTAGCCGCCTCTGGGTTTATATGACAGAAGTGTTTATACATGGTTGGTATGTGGGGTCAAGGCTTTTCTTTTTAAAGTGTTCTAGCAGGCACAATTACACAGAAAAGAATTCCCCTCTCTGACCGTGGGTAGAAAATCCCCATGCTGTCCTTTTTAAAAGCCACAGGGGATGCCGCACTGCTTCTATATTTTGTCACTTTTGCATTTTATCAGTGTCCATTTAGCCTAATCCTTAAAGCCTCAGAGACTTCTGAAATCCAAAGGATCTGTTGGGGGCAGGATAAACTGTATCAGTGGGGATGTCCCAGAGCTAAAGGATAATTTATGGAAAGTTTCCAAGGAGCTGTATCATTATCAACTTGAATAGTGAGTTAAATCTGTACCTAAGCTTGATGATGGCATTCGGGGAGGAGACAGAGGGTACAGACTTTCCAAGTGGTGTACGTGTGCTATCAACATGGTCCTCCTTGGCCAGTCACAAATGTTATGGGGTGATATATGGGAGCGGGCAAATAGATCACAATTGTTTGCAAAACTGCTGTTTTCGTGGCCATGGAAAAATATTGTCACTCAAAAATTAATACAAGTGGATGGTTATAGATAATTATATTTTATTATCCTGACTTGTTGGGGGCTTAACGATATTACACATTACTCTTTGGGAAAAAAATTAAAAAGAAAATGTTTCAATAATATGAATATTTTTCTAATTTGAATCTTGCATGATCATATTTATTCAAACTGTCACACGAAAATGTATGGGTTATTTTTTTTATCTATGTAATTAGCAAAGTGTAAGCAAATAAGTTATCAATGCTGGTGAGTATTCAATACTTGAGGATTAGATGCATATAATGTGGTCTAGTTCCATAATAATTCCATAGCTAAGTGGCCATATTCTATGTCTTTAAGGTTTTTAAAGTATAACTTAGTGACTTCGAAAATGCTTAAAATATGAAGTTGAAAGAAAAGAAAGAACAAAATACATAATTGAGGCAATTTATCAGCCCATGTGAAACCTAGTTCCTTAAATCTAACATGTGGGTAAACTTCGGGCCCATTTGAGAGAAAGGCTTTTCAAATAAAAAGTGTATGTCAAATAGGTTGCCTGGCATCTATTAATTGTTCAATTACTATTATTCATTACCATTGAACTAGGGAGTACTACTCTTGTTAAAGTGCGAATCTTTTCATTTTTGCATTACATGATACTTTTGGGGAGTTACTATTGTTTTTTTTCCCCTCAACAAATTTTTTCTGGCTCTAAATTTAGCTTGATGCCTTACCAGTGCTCCTTTAATTTTAATATAATTACATATACTTTTCTTATATTTAGGAGGGGACATGTTCTTCATGCCATAAAAACACATTT